TGTCGCTATGTCTGGTCTTGTCAAAGTAGCAATGTATAGTATCTTTCAGATTGCTCTGCGGTACATGTCATTGTTGGGTAGCAAGTTTTCTGCTTCATTGCTCTTTTGGTAGCCTGGTTCGATAGGTGTTTTTACTTCCTTTGCATCTTGCATGTGGAATTGTTCCAAAGTTTCTCCAACTTTCTGACTTTGGTTGAGAAGATAGCTTCCATCTTCTTCTTCTCACTCTCTCTCTCTATTTGAATTCCCAAATAGTATCTGAAGTTGCCTATTTCTTTAATTTCAAAGTTTTGCTTTAGTTTGTGAACTATTTTACTATAATCCCCTTCTTGTTCAAAACAGGTTATAATGTCATCAACATAATTAAGATTTATAGCCATCTGTTTTCTTAATTCCTGGAATAAAGACAGGGATCTGCTTTTCTTCTTGTAAATGCCTCTTTCATGAGTATTTTATTCACTTTCTCATTCCACATTCTTGCAGATTGCTTGAGTCTGTAGATGCTCTTTTGATGTTTAAACACAAGGTTGTGTCATTGCTCAAACCCTGGTGGTTGCTCCATGTATAGATCTTCCTTAATGTCTCCATATAGGAAAACCGTTTTAACATCTAGGTGTTTCATTTGCATGCCCTTCCCCGGTTACGATTCTAAGGAGTGTTCTGATGGTGGAGTGTTTTACGACAGGAGCGAATATTTCATCATAGTCTTCTCCAAATGTCTGGGAGTATCCCTTAGCAACTAATTTAGCCTTGTATTTGTGGATATTTCCTTCTGCATCAAGCTTCACCTTAAAAGTCCATTTGCTTCCTATAGTTCTGCGATCCATTGATTTTTCTATGTTGTCCGACGATGTTGCTTCGAGTATGCTATTTGTCTTAGCACTACAGGTGAAACTCGAATAATTAGAATATCGTGCAAAAGTAATTGCAGTAAGTGCTGCAAAAGGGGCCCAAACCAAGAACTGAGTACATATGCATGCTTGTATTTTTCAGGGGTCCGATATTGTTCTATGTACAATCCTTGTTTTATTGATTGCATGTAATCTACTTTTTTTGAGGTTGTGGATTTGGGGTTCTTGGGGTTTTCATGAGCTGTAAGCCATAATCATCACAATTATGACAAATCACGGCTTGAATGATCTTGCTTTGCATGTAATGAGTCTATCTCATATATTAGTTTCACCTTTTAAGTTGCATTAGTGAAATAAATGAACTTTGCACGATATTCTAATTATTCGAGTTTCACCTGTATATGACAGCTTGCAGGGTGGTATTTCCTTTGTCGCGCTTTGCGATTGCAAACTTTATATGCCATTTTATAGCAGTTTGGATGCAGCTCTTGTTGACTTGCAGTGCTCTGATCAGTGTCTGGGCCCATAACCTATTGGTTATGTGTTTAGATGAAGCACTGAGATCTTGAGGAATGCTAAATTAAGTTTTACTTCTTTAGCAGGACATTATTAAATCTGTATACAGGATGACAGCATCAAACAAGAGTCATTTAAATCATAGATAGAAGCATGCATATAGAAAAACTAGTATTGGCTAGACTTGCACTGCAGCGCCATCTAGTGCTCAAAAGACATGGTTATAGTCAGCAGCACAATCAGTATGCTCAGGCATCTCCAACAATTTTATGGTGGCTGTAGACCTCAGTTAGCGCTGAATGTGCAAGCACAGCACACCCTTTGGAAGATGTGTTTTTGGGTTGTTTTGTGTCCTATATATGCACAAATGGATTGCCTTGCTGTGCAGGTAAAAGTGGAAATGGAGAGAAAACACCTGTAGTATCTTGGTGAAAGGGGAAGTAGTGATCACATACATTTTCAAACCTGTCCAAATGATCTTTCACCCAGACAGGAGTGAATCGGCGGTTGATCTGACATGGGCTTGCTGTCCTTTCTGTCTGGATCAAATCATGCCTATGGCCAGCTTCACAAGTAGGAACTGGCAGGTAAAACAATATTCATCTCATATATCTTCAGTTTTGGTTCTGAATAAAAGCTCCTAATATAAATTAAATTGTAATTTATGCATGCCAGCTCTAAAGATAAATCTACAGAGACCTAACTTAATTTAGTTTAGCTTAGAGTCTTATGTTGGCCCACTTAAACAATGCTGTTTACCCTTTTGAAGTGAAGTGCTGGTACAGTGCATTCATGCAGACTTTTTATGTTGCTCGTGTATTTTACTAATATAGTATTACCAAGCAATCATTTAATAACTAACAGCTTCTGTAGGATGAGTGTTTTAGTGTCTCAGATGTCCTTCTGACAGGCTGTAATTAGCAGTAAGGATTACAATGTTTCCTTTAAAATTTCAAGTTACTTCTCTGAGTGTACGACCCAATACCAAGTGTAATGCTTTAAGGCAGGAGTAGGCAAACTCCGACTCGCCAGTGGTGCAACTATAAATCCCATTAGGCATTGCAAGATTCTAACAGCCACAGGCATGACTCCCAGAGGCAGATGCATGATAGGATTTGTAGCTGGAGGGCCAGAGTTTGCCTACCCCTGCTTCAGGGGAACATTTAAAACATCAGTGAAAAATTATTTTAAAGAAAACCTGTCACTTTGGCAAGGTAAAGTAACAGTTTCTCTTTATAGCGCATTCTTATCCTACTAATAACTTTCTTATGTTCTCCCCAGCATCCAGTTCATCAGCCAGAGCCCTTGGAAATACCAGGTACCTCCTTGGTATGTTAAAGCATGCTTTTCCGCCTCCTCCCTCTATGCATTGCACGGTGCCTAAAGCTTATCTAAACCCAAACACAGAAATGTAATATGTTGCATCTTAGCAATTGTTAAATGTGGCAGCTGCAATAGTTTTAATTTTGTTAGGCTTTTTTTCCTTTATTTTCACGTGGTGATCTGGCCAGTTATTTTTCAACTTCCTTGACCAGATGAAGCTGTCCAGCAAAGTGGCAGTAAGAGGAATGAGGCAAACCATCTAATACTTAAAGAGGTTCTTACAATGTCAGCTTTTATTCATTTATGTAGAACCTTTATCCAAAAAGGAAACAAAAACTGTTGCTTTAGTTGCTTAAAAAGTTTTAGCTAGATGTACTAACCCATCTAACACTACCCTCTCCACAAGTTGACTAAGCTGCTGTCTAAGGGTGGCTCCCTTGCTCCTCTATAGAGTGTAGCCATCTTCGAACAGGAAGTGGGTTACTGGCTGAATCACCATGCAAAAATTAAGACAATAAAGGAAGCAAATGTAGCCACTAGATTTGAGGATTGACAAGCTACAATATATTACTATTTGGTTTTGTTTTAAGATACACTTTAAGTGCCCAGTCTGTACTGTTTTCAATCCTTTCACTGCCCATCATATAATATAAATTCACACCTGATACTGACACAATTGTGAAATGGTCTGCCCATATGTGGAACAGATATAGATCTCTCAATAGTGGTCAGGGCATTCAAAGGATAGGGACCAGTATACCTATTTACATTTGTATAGTTCTATATCAGCCCATGTGACTTTATTTAGTTCTACAGTTTGGGCTCTATAATATCCACTGACTATGTGTAAAGTTCAGTAACCCAAAGGAACCAAATTTCTATTTATTATAGTCAAACCTGGAAATGGGTGACATCTGTCAGGATGCTATGAGTTGCTACTGAGTAGCTCCTTACTAAAGGAAACCTGCCATGAGAAAAAGGAGGCTGTTTTATTGACCTCATATCTGAAAATACTAATTACCTTGCTTCAGTACTTTGATTCACTTACCCAGAACATGTATGCACATAAGAATTTCTAACATTTTCTGTACATTTTCTGATCACTATAATTATTGCAGTAAGTGACTTGGAACATACTGAAGCCAGTGGCCCAGCCAGGCAACTAGCATTTTCAGAACAAGGTCAGCAATGGCAGACCCTTTATTTTTCTAATTAAAAGTTTCCTTTAAATAAGCTAGCACGTGTTTTCTGATATAGCCACATTCTATGAATAAACTTAATCTTATTGGAAATGCCTTGGTTGCCAATTCCTACTGCCTTTACAAAAGGTGCAAATTATATATTGTGGATTATGTGATACAACATATAATTCATTTTTGCTTACATCTTATGACCTTATGTTATCTTATCTTATCAATACATCACCTGTTACTAAATATTCTTGAAACAGTGAGATTTATCTGGTACATTAACTTGTGTATCTAGAGTTATTCTGTATCTGAAGTAAAAAAAAAGAGATTATAATATGGGAAACCAAAGCACAGTAGTAAAATGGTTTTTATCCATTTTTGTTTTTAAAGGGTAGTGGGTACATTGAGTACACTTACAGCAGATGTAGTTTTTAGGAATACAATATTTTTAGGATAAACATAAAGCTGTGTTGAGATTGAATTACTGAAATGGAGTTGGCACATTAAACTGGAAATTTAGTATAAAGTGCCTAAAATTCTATTTTTCATTCTGTATATAAATTGTCGTGTGCAATTAGAGTTACAGATAATTATGTTTTTGCTAAATCGGTACATCTGGCACAGGGTCTATTGGTGTGTAGAAAAGTATGAGACTGACACTTTTCCTGCTTAGTCATTAAAAAAATTTTTAGTAAGCCATCTGTTTAGATACAGACATTCCCATGTAGCTAAAGACACGTTATTTTGCCCTTAAATACTTATGTACATCAATACGATTAACCCCTATTCTCTTTCAGGGACATATATGGACATTTGACCTCACACTTGCTGCCCAAAGGTCACATCCCTTGCCTTGAAAGTGTTATGTTAATGAGCTGGACATAGGGCTCAAGGAGATATAGCTTGTGTGCAGTCAACGCTTCTATGGCAACACAATAGATCAGATAGCTTCATGAATATTGCCAGTAGCAGGGGCTGCGTGAGGAATAAGTGATCAGTCTGATGTCAGCAGCCTCTGATGCTGCAGCTTCTGTCAGGCTGCTTAGTATGGGCAGCAGCCAGAGTCAAGGAGACAGGGAGGGAGGAAAAGAGGGAGGGAATACTCTTTTTCTCTTTTTATTATGATTTGTTCCTTTTGTTCTTCTGGGCAGCCCTAGTCCAGTCCCTCCCCTGACCGGCTGCTGACTGAACTGTTCTGCTCGTCTGTTGCATTTCATACCCTCCTGCAAAGTCTTCATCATCTCATTGCTTGGCATCTGAGCAAAGACAAGCAAACATGGACCACAGGCTCCTCCTGGCACCTCTAGCACTGTCAGGATGCTGCGACTGCTGCTGATGCATTTGAGACACAGACTTCTCAGTCTGTGCACCTGAGGCAGGAAGAGGTGCTGACATGCCCCCAGCAGTGGCACATAGGGGCTGACATCAGCCAGCAGCAGAGAAGCTTTCAGTGGGGGAGTATCCTGGCAGACAATGGACAGACTGCACCCCTCTATGAGGAAGCGTCTGTACAGCCTCCCTCAGCACATCGGATCCAAAGCATCTATAATGGACGAAGAGGAAGGTGAAGAGAGAGACACCTGGAAAAAGAGCATTAAGCTGAAACCATTGCCCTCACCTTCTGCGCTTAAGATTCTTGACCCACGACCTGGAGCAAAGGATACCCATCTAGTTATGGAAACTGAAGTAGGAAAATCCCAAAGAACAAGTAGCAATGGAGACTGCAGGAGATTTACAGGTAGTCTCTCCTCCATTGCCAGCTGTGGCCGGCACCTTCATGATTCAGACCCTAGTGAAGGGAGAAGGCTTATATCAGAAGGGGACCTTAGCCCTACTGATGAGAAGTCTCCTACCATGGACACTTCAGGAGAAACAAGTGCAGGCCGTTCTCAAGCAGCTCATCCAGCGTCCCAACCTCAGAGCGCTGACCAGCACAGTACTTCTGTAAAGGTTGAAGGAAGAGAACAGACTTTATCTGGAGGGGATGAGGAACAGAGTAGTTTTATGCACAGGCAGTTTGGGGCGCTTCTACAACCTGGGGTGAACAAATTTTCCTTGCGGATGTTTGGCAGTCAGAAAGCTGTGGAAAGGGAGCAAGATCGGGTGAAGTCTGCTGGATTTTGGATTATTCACCCATATAGCGACTTCAGGTAACAAAAAGAACAAAGCCTACAATTTTGGTCAAACAAGTGTTTTTTCATATTGTTGCATAAATTTAAGAATTCATCAGAGTTTGACATGTCCCCACAATGGAATAATGATTTATTGCATAAATAAGGTTTAAATACACAGGAATCGGAAAGGATTGTGCCATTGTGTTTCATCTTTGAAAAGGGAGATCACAAGCTTTGCTTCACTGCTTTTTCTCTATAACCTTGAAGGAGTCACTTTGCTCAGACCAACTGACTAACACTGGAAGCTTCAAGATCTAATGTGCTTATCTTTAGTGTGCATGAGTGCATACATCACACCATAGTAATACCATTTTTTTGCATTCAATTTCATGAATTAGAAATCATTTTAGAGAGGTTGGGCCTAGCATTGTAAGAGGGCAGTCGCTTCACGAGGTAGAAATATGCACACTGTGCTTCTATATGAAGTATGAGGACCTGAAACACAGTCAAATAGTGTTTATATTCACGTGCATTCTTTCAGCTGCTCATAAAAAGTCTTCAAATAGATCTAACACATCCAAATCAGGAATGGGAGGAATGGGGCTGGCAACACTAAATCCAAGCTTGGCCTTTCTACACTCTCCCAAGTAACAGATACTTTTTGTCCTTCATAGTTAGATTTCACATAAGCTCATGATTTTGCAGCATCATTAGCAATAAAGTACTGGTAATTGTTCCTCAGTAAAAAAAAAAAAAAACACATCCTCCAGTTCTTCATTGAGCATTGAGTTTTGGACAGTATATGACTGAATATATTAAGTGGCTGGTCAAGACTGTTTTTTCCCCATAAATGTAAACCTCCACCAATCAGTGATTATTGTATGTATCTTAAAGCAAAAAAAAAAACCATTCATATCAGGCTTTTGCCACAGGTGTAACCAGTTATCACTATGCATTGAACCATTTGTAGGCACGGTTGCACTTTCTGAGAAAGGACAGTGGAGCAGACATTTTTAATCAGCAACAGAAAATTTTTATAAAAATGGCTTTAATTCCATATGAAAACTTTATTCTACTGTACAGGGAAACCCAAAGTGCTTAGTAGATGTACCCCTTCATTGTTTTAGGTATAGTCAATGTGAGTAAGCCTGCACCATTTACAGTAGTACCATTAAAACCAATAACATGAAATAATTTATTCTGAATATATTCATGCACTGATTTATTGCATATTCTCTGCGTTAGGGCAGGAGATTCATTGCGTGCATCCCTGTGAAAATAGCTGCAGCCTCTGTCTGTTCATAGGATTGATTGTAATCGTTTTGTGTCTGATTTTGTTTGGGTGAATGCCATTTTTGTCAATCTTACCTTGATAATAAATGAGTAGTTTTGTGTCTGAGTAGGTTGAGCTTGGCAAGCAGATGCCTGTGTCTTTAGCGGCAACAGAAGCAACAGTGTCAGAACTGCTGACTTCATAATAGCACAGCGAATGCAGCCTCATTCAAGAGAAAAATGCTACGTTGTGTTTATACGACGTAGGTTGCAGAATTATTCTTCTGTTAGAAAAGGGTATAGTCCAATGATTCATCAGAAATCAACACTGCAAAATAACTTTTTTGTTAGAAAACATAGTTCTTTTGGTGCATTGACATTATAACACCAGAACCCAACAAAAACTAAGCAAACCATTACAATGCAATGTTACTTACTATTTTGATAGAACCAAAAAAAATCTAGGGTAGTTCATTTTGTTCTAAACATATTAAATGTATAACATTCTATAGACAAATAAATTTTTGTTGTGCAAAGGTCTGCAGAGAATTGAGCCAAAATGAAATTATGTAATTAAAATATTGTATAGTAGATGGTTTACTGAAAGTAAAGGGATTGCTGTTGATAAAGTGCATAGGGAGAGATTAGTGTAGGTCTTGCACTGTCAGTCTGTTATAGTAAATGTAAACCCATATTAAATGTCATGTAGGTCGCACATTGCTGTCTATCTTAATGCTACTATGTCTTGTGGACTCCATACAGTCTGTCCCTTTTCACTTATACTGCACTGTTAACAGGCTGTATGTGTTTTTTCACTGGGCATATTTCTTAATTGTTGCTGGTTGCAATTGTTTTTTCAAAGGCCTTTTTTAAAAGTGAACCTTCCATGAAAATGGTATGTCTGCTCTTTCAAAAGCACCCACCTCTCCATGTCAAATAATTTGCAAAGGCTATTTCAAAATAAAGCTGTTGCTAAATGAATAAAAAAAATAGCCGCCTTGTTTCGGCTTGTGAGGCTTCCGGGAGGCATGGGTGATGTCACCGAGCCTCGCAGCTGCCTCCTAAGATAGCTGTGTGCTTAAAGTCCCACTAGATTGCACTCCAACCCATTACAGTGCACATCTATCCCAGAAGATAGTGGTATAGTAAAGTTTTTTTTTTTACATCTACTTTAACAAACTATGCTTGTGTCCTTTGAACTGCAGTGCTGGTGTACATTTTCTCATTTTCTTTTGTGCCACAGATCTGCACAACCAAAAATACTTTTAAGGACCAACACAACACAAACACATTACATTCCACATGATGGTGGAGGGCAGGGATGAATTTCTGTGCAAAATAATTAGGACTGGGTACTTGGCACTGTGGTGTAGTTTCTTAGGCTTCTTAAAGTGTGGGTCGCAACCCCATGTGGGGTCGCGCAAGTGAATGGGGGGGGTCGCGATCTGAATCCCGGCCAGGGCTGCCATCAGAGGGGCATGGAAAGTAATTGTATGCAGCGCGGGGGAGGCCCAGGCTCCAAGCAAGATGGGTTTTTTTTTTAGTTTAATATGTGCGGTGCAATTACTACGGTCCCCCCCCCTGCACTTGGTACCTTCCTGACCACGTATCGACCGACGCTGGGGGGAGAGATACTGTCCGATGCTGGGGTCACACAAAAATGTCCTCGGCCGAAAAGGTGTCACGAGTGGAAAAAGTTTAAGAAGGCCTGGTTTAGACCATAAACTCACAGAAGAGGGCTGATTCCATAGCTGAGATGGGAGCAGCTGCAAAGCTAGCAGTTTTGCCAAGCTGGCATTAGGACATGGGCGTGATATGAGATTATTTTTTGTTCCACTCCAGAGCAGATAAGCAGATACAGTAAAAATGTCCAGCACTGCAGAGCTCTGTGGACCGGTCTTGGAGATAGCAGTGGCATCGACCTATGGGGCAGTGTTGCCAAATGGATTAGGAAGGCTACTCCTTCCGGTCCTCTGCAAGCTTCCCCTGGACAAAATTCTTCCTCGCTATTATTCGTCTTCCTCAGAACATTCCTCCTCTTCAGTTAGTGACACCCACAGGTGCCTTATTATCCACATTGCTGGAACCCACTTCACAGTAAGCTCCAGCTGGTGGAACATAACTGCCTCTTGCTAGTCCTTGCCTGATATCCCCCAACTCTTGTGTGGCTGAATCCTCCTCTCTCTCTATTGTCATAGTGCTATCTTCCTCATCCTCAATATCTAAAGAAGGAATGATTGTGCATGACCAAGATTAATCTCCTGCAGCAAGTGAGCGGTCATGTGATCAAATAATTCTGCCTCATAGCATGTTTGTGGGGCTATGGTGGGATTAGCAGAAAAGGTTGGGGGAAATGGCACATTAGCAGCACTTGCAGACATCTGGCTGCTCTGCACCTTGAAGTTGGAAGAAGAAGGGCTTTGTCGCCACTTTACTACCTCCTGCACGTGCTGGTGCTGTATAGTATGGTCACTCTGAGATAGAAAATGTAGATGTGCCCTGACTCTTGATGGAGCAGCTTGACCATCACTTTGTCCTGCAGCTGTGGCAATTGGGGTAAATATGTGGTGCTTTGGTGCACACTACTTTATCACACAAGTATGCGTTGACATTTTGCAAATGAAGGGCAGATTTGCCTGTGTCACCAAAAAGTGTAGACAGTGAAGAGGGGGTGTAGTGCAAAGAGGCTTGGACAAAGTGGGGCTCAGACCACTGGACTTGACGGGTGGTTAAATTGTAGCTTTTTTTGTAGTTCCAGATAGCACTTGGTCCTCCACTGCTATCTGGAGCTATACGGTCCAGCCACCATACAATATTTGTGACTATTGTCTCTTAGTAGTACACTATAATGTTTATTGAAAAATCAAACTTGCCTGGTCTCCCTCTTTTTATTTTGGCCTAGCCCTGCGGTTTAACTAACTGTCCAGCAAATGATTTGTTGCTATTGTCTCTCAGACAGTATAATCACATTTTTATTGCAAGATAAAACCTTTCTTATCGCTTTCTTTTTGCTTCCTTTTTAAAGTGCTCCCATACTGTCTTTGGGCAAGCCAAACTCTACCAAACACATACCTGTAGTCTATATTTTGAATATTTTGGGAATAGTTGAGGATACAGTGACGGGGGCATCACTGTTTGTGCACACATATGAAGTTGAAGACTTTTTGGGGGTTTTTTTAGGAGTACACATTCGTATTTTAGATCTGTTGTGGCTGCTATTTCCACCAATCAATACAGTGAAAATCGTACTGTTCAGTAACATAAATACAGTTCAAAGGCATTTCTCAAGCATGTAAGGCCTGGTGTTTTTGGCATGTCTCCCATGAAGCATTAAAATCCCCCTCTCCCTGCATGAAAAAGGTTTAATGGATTTCATGCAGGATTTAACAACAACCCCCCTCCCCCTTGAATTGTACCTGGACATATTCATTCATACCGGTTTTTGGGGTTGAATTCACTATAAATGGTGATCTTATGATATATAGACCTTAGTATTTTTATATCATGTTGTAATGATCGCTTTATAGACCTGCTACAACCCAATTATCTGTGTCAACAAAAAATACAGCACAAGGGAGTTGTGTATGGTCACCTTCTTACTGTTAATGTATTATTGCTACATAGCCTGTTTTAGATTGTAACAAACACAGTCAAAATGTAATCTTCTTGTACAGTCATCCACACACAGTCGTTAGACTCTATCATGTATTAGTGTATCACAGTTTACTCAACTATTGTATTAGCAATAAAACTGAACAAATGCA